TGTAATTCATCAGTCAAAGGTCAACTGAATCAAAATTACACTATAGCATTTCAAAATAGATAGTTTAATTCCATCTACTCCGTGAATCATTTATTTATATTATACAAGGAACTGATAATATGATCTTTCTGTTAGACGCATCGAACCATATTCTCTACAATGCAAAATAAAGAAACTTATGCTCGCATAAATAAATAAACTGCAAACACAAATACTTAACTAAAACATAATTCTCATTCAAAATAGCATTGTCAGAAACTGAAAGACGAGCTTTTGCAATATACCCTAACAAACTGTTATCTGGCCACATAAGAATTGAAGTAGCTAAAAACAAGTTGTGTGGCATTAAGTTGAGCAGAAATAACCTCCCTCTCACTCATATATTCATTGCTGACGACTCTTCAATCTTCTGTAGAGTTGATGGTCATCAAGCCTCTGTGATTCTTGATGTGCTTAATAGGTATAGAAATTTTTTTGTGCAAAAAGTGAACTTAGAAAAGTCCTCAGCGTTCTTTAGCAAAAACTCTACATCCTCTGAAATTGCAAATATCTATAGAGTGTTGCATGGGATCCAAGTTCATTCCTCTATCAATTACTTAGGTCTTCCTCTAGGGATTGGAAAAACAAAAAGGGAGTTTTTGGTTCATTGTGGGAGTTTTGAAAAAAAAATAATAAACAGTTGGAGCATTAATTTCTTATCAACTGCAGGAAAAGAAATGCTTATAAACTCTGTTCTTAATGCTTTACCCCTACTTGCTATGTATTGTGTGCTTTTACCTATAGTGATTTTCAGAGAAATTTCTCATCTAATTGCAGAATTTTGGTGGAAGTTTGGGGACAAGAAAAAGAAAAAAGAAATTCATTGGAAATCTTGAGAGGGGGTGACTCTACCTAAAATTCGTGGTTTAGGCTTCAAGGATTTGAGATTAATGAATAAGGCCTTGATTTCGAAGCAGCTTTTGGGAATATTACTAAGACAAATTTACTTGTTAGTAAAGTGCTGACGGTGGGTCGGCAACTGTTATGAAAAATTGTATTTAAGGCAATTTAATCGGGGGTCACGATATAATTATGGTAAATTTTAGATATTTAGGATATGGAGTGATCGCAATAATATAAACATGCGCAATAATAAAGCGAGACACAGATTTTGTCGATCGGCTATGACAATTGTCAAAGAGACGATTTCTCCGGGATTTTACTAGAAATAGTGGTTGCCGAATGTTTTGTATATGATCTGCTAAAGATCAAATTTAGTTATATGAAATATGGTAGTTGTGATCATGATGATTTTTGAGGAAGCCGTGGTTGGCTTATTTGTGTTTAGGCTTTGCTTGGATTTAGTATTAGCCTGGCTTTGCCTTCTTCCAGACTTAAGGGCCAGTATTTATACACAAAAAAAAGTGTCGGAGCATTAAATGAGGAGTGTCGGCTAGGGGTGTAGGGTGATGCACGTGTTACCATGCAAAAGTTGATGGGACATGTCGAACAATGCTACCAGCTTTATCAAGGCGTGTTCAGACGGTAAGGCTGATTGACAATCTTCCTCGAAAAGCTTCTGCGAGCGACTGTCGCGCTGATCGAGCGATCGACAAACCTAGCTCTTGTTGTCTAGAATTAACAACTTGAAATTAAATACAGCTGATATGAAATGATAGAGATAATCGTAAAATTAGATTTTATTTGATATAGTCACAAGAGTACAAGAGTCGGTTTTTTATTGATAACCGAGTTCATCTTAAGCTCATGTACCATGTGTTCGAAAAAAGATCCCCCCGTACTATCATAAATTCTGCTATTTATAGTACGGTAATTTTTGTCTTCTTGCTCGAAATGGATAAAGACGTATTTAATGTTGAGTTGCTTTATTTTAAGCGGTGGGGAACATCAATGATTGCTTTTTCGTTTTGCTGGTCCAATCAGGTGCTTCCATCTTTATCTTCTGTTTAGATATTTGGACTTTGTGGTAGTCGGTTTACTCACATTGGCTTCAATAGTCGGTTCCTTTGATAATCTTCGGAAGTCGGTAATTAATTCTTATAAATGCTGACTTGTAACCGACTTGTATTAAGTTCACCTTCTTCTGAAAGATTATTTCTTCAATAAAGCGATTAATCTCCGTCTTCAATCTTGTAATCAAGTCGGATATCAACACTAGCAATGATAACTTCGGCCGACTGTGGGATGATTTTTGTATTCTGGGCCTTGTTTGTCCACGTGGACTGAAATTAGTATGTGGGTCACGTCATTTCTTCTGATCGGAGATTTTGGATACAACATAATGCTTTTAAGGAAAAATACTTACCTGCTGGCAATATTTTTTAAGCACACAGGGCTTCCTGGCTTGGAGATCTTGGCTGACAGTGAGAGACTCATTTGAGCAAGGTTTTAGATATGAGGTTAAAGATTGCAAAGTGTCGAAATTTGGGACTTCCCCTGAATCCCAACCCTTAAGGGCTTCAAACCAAGCTTAGGTAGAGACAATGCAAGAGGTTTGGTGTGGATAAATGTTTTTCTTAACTCTAGTGGAAGAGGCTTGAATGAGGCTTTAAATAAGGAAATGTTCTCTTATAAAAACTATGAAGCCATCTTGAGCACTAATACTTTGAATCTTGAGAGCAAAAACATGATAGTCTGGCATCTTAGTAAGAAGGGTGAGTTAACAATAACATCTATGTATGAGCTTCAAATTACTATAAATGGCACAAACTTGACATACCAGAAATTAGCTGAAGTTACGTCACCATGATAAAGGTGATGGAGAGAAGCTGGAGACTCAACATCAAAGGCAAACATAAACACTTCATTTAGAAATGTTTCTCGAGGATTCTTCGTGTGTACAACAATTTAAGGAAAAAAGGTTTCGATGTTCATACCGTGTCAAAAATCTGTGGTGATTGTGAGGAAATAATAGAGCACCTTCTCTTTCATTGTTCCAGAGCCAAAAAGGTTTGTGCCACTACACCAAACCAATGGGAAGGAGTTTCAGTAACTGAAAATTGCTTCAAGACTTGGTGGAGTCAATTATGTTCTTTGGAGAAAACCATGTTGCAGAAGAAAGAATCCAACTCACAACCTATATTCTATGGTGATTTTGGAAGGCCAGAAATCTATGGGTGTTTCAATCTATTTTGATGCCAGAGAAAAATATTCTAAAAGCTGCACATAGAGATTTGTTGGTTTTTATGTGTAAATTCTGATTTTTAGTTACTTTTGTTTGGGTTGATGTAACTAGATGCTTTTGCATAGTGGTTATTCTCTTTTCGTTTTGTTTTGCCTTAAAGAATATTGATAGCTATTATACAGGTTTCTGTATTCATCTATCTAGTAGACTAACTATCAATGATTTCTTCTTGGCTTTAGCCAACCCCCCTTATTGTAGGCCTTTATGCTTGTAATGGTGCTCTCAATTGTAGGCCATTTGCTATTGTATTGGTACTATGTATTAAGGCTTGTTAGCCTTTGTTGATATCACATTAATTTTATCGTTTAGGAAAAAAAGAAAGCCATCCTGGAAGCATTCAGGGGCAATATGTCTGAGTATATCACGACTACTAAATATTCCTTGCAGATATTGAAAAAGGTTTGTCAAGAATGAAAAGGCTAAAATTGGTACGCTCTTAGCAAATCTAATCTCAATGAGGTATGGTGGTAAAGGCAATATTAGAGAATACATCATGGTGATGTCTCATATTGCTTCAAAATTAAGAGCAGTTAAAGTTGAACTCTTTAAGGAATTGCTAGAGCATTTGGTTTTGATCTCTTGTGGGTCAATTTAACCAGTTCAAGGTGAACTATAATTGTCCAAATGAGACTTAGTATTTGAATGAGCTCAGCCCATATTGTATCCAAGAAGATGAAGAAGTAAGATAAGATAAAAAGCGGTAATGTTGCCAATATGTCTGAACATAAGGCAATTGATTAACGAGAACTGGAGCCTCGAATAAGAATTAGAAGCACATACCGAACACCTATTGTCCTAAGAATAAAAAAAAATGGCAATTATCGTCCCACAAAAGAAACATCAAGAGGCACCTAGTACGTCTAATTGTGTTAATTGTGGGATCGACAAAAATCAATTATATTTCATAGGCAACCTAAAAACTCAAGGAGCTAAACTGAAATAACCATTTATGTTTTTTTTTTTCATTCCAGCTTATAACTTGAGGGCGTAGTTGTTATTTGCTGAGAGGTCAAGGGCTAGATCGAAATAATCCTCTATCCCCTTATATATAATTCTCAAATAATTGAGCCTAAGTGACAAGCTCGCACGCTTCGGGATCATATTTGGTAAAATTCCATGGTTCGTCATTTGTCTTGGATAACTTTTAATGTACTTCAAATCCATAAATAATTACGTTTGAAATTATCCATAAATATATTGGATATTTAGGGCCATTTTATGAGCATTAATTCTGTTTTATAAATTTTTTTTATTTAGGACGTGGTTTATAAGAAATGAATTTTTTTGCCTCATGCTCTCAATCTTTTTTTTTTTAATTACAATACACTTTACTAACTTAAATTATAAATATAGTTTTATATTTATTATCAATTTTTTATATATAATATATCAAATCAATCATCACTTCATTAGCTTCGATATTGACATCTATATTGTGTGATAAAGTAAATAAATAATTATGTCCATATTTACAAATAAAAATTAAATCATCTATTAATTTTAGTTAGAAATATTATTATTTTTAAATTAAATAAATTTAACTACAAAGTAGTTATATGATATAAATTAAAAAAATATTATAATATATGGTGATTAAGTAGTATATGTGATAGTGTCATTTTAATTATAAATAAAATATATTTTTTTCAAAAAAATATCTAAAATTAAAAACATAATTTTTTTATTATTTTTTAAATTTGTGAATACATTTTTTAATAAGCACCCAGCATTGTGCTATTACTTTTTAAATTTAAGGGTAATTTATTTTTTTAATAAACACCGATGTAATGAATGAATATTGTACTAGTTGTTTTTTGTTCCTAAAAAAATTATTTAAGTGCACCCCATAAAACCCTAAAGACCCATTCATTCAACACTCCCTTTTGAGTCTTCAATTCCCGCAGCCGCATCCACTCTCTGTAAGCCTCTCTGCGTCTCTATGTACCTCTGCCCCGTGTAGATTTTCTTGATATTGCAGCTTAAGCTTTTAATTATTTGCTTGGCAGAACAGATCAAATCCAGATACAATTTGCTATCAAGCAATGGCTGTCACTTTTTACGACCTCAGCTCGGCGGCTGGCCTCCAGAGGCTTGATGATTACCTTTTATCTCGCAGTTACATTACCGGGTCAGTTTTAATTTTCACATTCTCGTTTGATGCTTGTTCTCAATTCTTCTCGCTGATTTAAGTTTCCGATCGGTTTTTTTCTTGAACATTTTTTTTATAAATTCCTATGTCTCGAGGTTTTTGAATTACTGTGTACGTATTGAGTGGATAATTAAGTGCTAACTCGAATGGATGAAAGAAATGTGTAAAACGATTCCAGCTTTGAAATTATTTATTCGGTGATGAATTGTAGCTTATATGTGGCACTTTCTTATATGGTTATTCTAACTGCTAAACAATGTCGCTTGATCAGGTATATAATACATTTTAATTATCTTGTGTATATAATATATGGTTTGGAATAAAAAAAAATGTATAATACAATTGGGATGCGAGCTTGTACGCATCTGGATTCTTGTGAATTTAATGTTTATTTTAGATACTAGAAGCATATATAATTGTCATCCTGCATTCCCTCTGCTTATATGTTTTATGGGTCAACAATAATTGATTGAGTACATGGTGTTTAATATTTTAATGCTCATGTCTAGTTGTAAATGTTTAATTTAAGGTCTCAAAGCCCCCAAACATTAGAAATATACCATTGTTATCCTATATTTTATGAAGAATTAACTTTGATCCTCCTAAATTTTATTTTTGGTACCATCCATGTTTTAAATTTAGACACTTTCCCTTGTTTCAGGTATCAAGCTTCGAAGGATGATTTAACAGTTCATGCTGCCCTCTCAAAGCCTCCATCACCTGATTATGTGAACGTGTCACGTTGGTACAACCACATTGAAGCTTTGTTGAGGATTTCGTATGTCCCTCCTACTTTACATTGTTATTTCTAATTAACTTACACAACATTGTTAGTTTATTTATTTTAATTATTTATGTATATTTATTTTTGCAGTGGAGTTTCTGGTGAGGGAAGTGGTGTGACAATTGAGGGATCGGCTCCCGTTGCAACCCCTCCTGCTGCAGACACCAAGGCAAGATATAATAACCTAAATCTACCGGCATTTTAGTACCATTAACATTTGTTTGAATTTGAAAAATCTCATCTATGAGCTGAAATTGAGAAGATAAATAAATTTCAGGCTGCATCTGCTGAGGATGATGACGATGATGATGTGGATTTGTTTGGTGAGGAGACTGAGGAAGAGAAGAAGGCTGCTGAGGAACGTGCAGCTTCTGTAAAGGCTTCCTCAAAGAAGAAAGAATGTTAGTTTATTACTATTCTTTACTTGGAATATATTATGTCGAAAGTATACATTTTCTTTTATAACACTAATCTTTTATTCTTCTACCAGCAATAATTTTATCTTGAGGACAGTAGTGAATACTGATTGTTTTCTTCTTATTTTCATCTTCAGCTGGTAAGTCATCAGTCCTGATGGATGTAAAACCATGGGATGATGAGACTGACATGAAAAAGCTTGAAGAAGCTGTTAGAAGCGTGCAGATGGAGGGTCTTCTCTGGGGAGCTTGTAAGCTTTTTTTTTTCTCCTCTTATGTAGAAATAGTAACTGCAGTTAAATTGTAATAGCCCCGACTATTTTCTCATTAAGATACTTGCCTTCTTTATCATGTGGTCCACATTATAATGAATATCAGATGAATCTCAATATTTTGGATGAGAAAGTATGTTTCGTCTTTTGTGGTCATTCGTGTAGGCTTATCATAGATGAGGGTTGTTTTGAGTAACATTTCAAGAATGTTGAGTTAATGATATTTGTGGTGGTTGCAGCTAAACTTGTACCTGTTGGATATGGAATCAAGAAATTGCAGATTATGATTACCATTGTGGACGATTTGGTATCTGTTGACACCCTCATTGAGGACTATCTTACAGCCGAACCAATCAATGAGTATGTCCAGAGTGTCGACATTGTGGCCTTCAACAAAATATGTAAGTAATTCTAGAAGTATCTATATATGAACTGAGTTTACCCTTTACAACTGTGGTTATAAGGAAAAGGGATATTATAAAGAAAAATGAAAGAAACTCACAAAAGCATATTTTAAATGGACCCTGCATTTTCTGTTTGCTTCCGATTTTTTTAGGTTGTTTTCTTTTTGTTTGGTATATAAATGGGAACTCTTTGTTGCAGGATTGGTTCCAAGCTATAATTAGAGTGGCCATTCGTGGAGTAGAGTTGATCTCACTTCATTGTTCGTCATATATGACCAATTTTAATATCTTAAGGTGTTGGATGACAATCTATGAAGTTTCTTGTGTGGCCAGTTTTCTATAATTTTCTTGTTTTGGATGCTGAGAACAATAATTTATGATGTTTTTTTTCAAGATTGAAAACTATTTTGCAGTTGTCTATCGTGATTTCTGTTATTATAATTATTATTGTTGTTTTGCCTGATCTATAGCTATTTTTTTTATGGAGTAACAAGCAAAAGGGTGCAGGCATTGATTCAAGAAGAGGGATACCCAATTTAACTTGGTTGGTTTGTTCATCCGACCCACCTTTTTTCAAAACCTTGATTTCTCTTCCTTTGTTCTGCCTCTTGTT